ACTTCCCTGGCCAGCCCCTAGCCCAGAACTTCCTGCACTCCCTGAATGAGTGGCTCCAGAGGCAGCAGAGAAAGAAAATTCCCTACAGCTTCCTTAAAACTGTTCTGGATGACAGGAAGGAGGTGAGTGTGGAAAGTAAATAAAAAATACCCCATCCATGGTATTTATGGGAATGGACAGGGTTAACAGTCTAATCTGTGACTTCCACCAATTTGCATTCAGGAAGGAACCAGTGATCTTAGTTGGGTCCTTCCATTAATAATTAATCAACTATTTATTGAGCTCTCTACATGCATGTCCCATTTAATTCACATAACATTCATAGAAGATAGATGTTATCCCCAATTCACAGATGAAGAAACTGAGGTTAGGGGAGGTTAAACAATTTGTCTGAGATCATGCAGTCAGTGAGTGGTTGGGCTGGGATTGAAGGCTAATGAGACACCAGAGTTTTTAACTACTGCTCTCTGCTGCCTGCAGGCGGGTGGTGCCCCTCAGTATAACTGTTCTGGCCCTCCCTGGGGCACCTTACTGGGCTCCCGCACATGCCGCTGTTGGCAGAAGTGGGCCACTATAGCCAGCAGAGCTGCAAGCTGTAGACTTGTAAGATGTCAAAGCTTGCAAGGACCTCAGAGATCAACTTTCTTGTCTTACAGATGGGGAAGTTGAGGCTAAAACAGAATATAACTTGATCTGTGTCATAGGTTTTCAGATTTGCTATTTCTCCCATGGGCTGGCAGAAGGGAAATGCCACCTTCAAGGTGATAGCCTGAGCAAGGGACCTCATCCCTCTTAAGACTGTATGCAGGCTTGGCACCTGTGGCTCAAGCAGCTAAGGCGCCAGCCACATATACCTGAGCTGGTGGGTTCAAATCCAGCCCAGACCCACCAAACAACAATGACGGCAGCAACCCAAAAACTGCCGGGCGTTGGGGTGGGGGCCTGTGGGACCAGCTACTTTTGAGGCAGATGTAGGAGTTTCGTTTGAGTCTAGGAGTTGGAGGTTGCTGTGAGCTGTGATACCACAGCACTCTACCCAGGGAGACAGCTTGAGGCTCTATCTCAAAAAAAAAAAGACCATATGCAGACCTTCAAGTCTCCTGGAAGCGTCTCCTCTCTCTCATCCCATCCTTTTCCTCCTCTATATCTGCACTCCCATCCATGTGTCTTTAGGGTACTGTTATTGCCAAGAAGGTGAACTGGATTGGCTGCCAGGGGAGCGAGCCCCATTTCCGGGGTTTCCCCTGCTCCCTGTGGGTCCTCTTCCACTTACTGACTGTGCAGGCAGCGCGGCAAAAGGTAGACCGGCCACAGGATATGGGTAAGTCCACTGTGTCTGAGAGCCTGCCCTCCACAGGGACAGGGGGCAGGGCCACTCCCTAGAAGTTCCCCCACTGGCCTGTCTGCTGGCCTATATTCAGGGGATAGGGTGGAGACAGTCTCCAGGTTCCCTCCTGTGTGGAGGGTCAACTGTGCATCCGCAGTTGACCATACATGACCAGCATGGAATGACTCTCAGAAGGGGGAGGACTTGGAGGATTCATCCCGTCCTGTCCTCTGTCTCTGGGGTGGTACCCCTTCAAACTCAGGGCATGAGGCTCCCCCAGCTCTCCCAGGACTTACAGCTCACTTTGTTTTCAGTCTTCATGAAAAATTTGCAATTCTGTCTTTTTAGATTTTCATAAAGAAAAAGCATATGACATAGATGATAACCATGTACTTTAAATAATTTCATTGAATTTCCCACTGAAAAATAATTTTTTAGGAGAAGTTGGGGGAAAATTCTCCAACTTCCCTGCTCCCTACCCAAACTGCACAGCTATAACCCATGCCATCTCACTCCTGCTCTTAACCACTAAGGCACTGGTATCAGAATCAATCACTGTTACTGAGGAACCAGGTTTATGGCAGGCCCTGGCTCAACTTGGGGGCAGATACAAAGGAGCCAAAAGAGACAATGGCCACGTTCAGTGATCATCCTGTCTGAGCAGGGTGGACAGAGAGCTCCTGCGGTGCACCAGGGCTGAGGGCCAGGGTGGAATGAAGGATGTTTGGGCAAAACAGAGGGCATGCTCAGTGCTGCTGGGTAGGGACATGGGGCTTCGTAGGGGGTGAGTTGAGAGGTGATGGCTGAGTAGGGATTCAGTGCAGAATAAGAGCATCTTGCCAGAGGGAGCAGCCTGCGCAAAGGCAGAGTAA